AAGTCCAGGGTCTCCACTCTCCTCCATGTCAAGTCAGACGTGACTCCTCATACCTGGTGACTTCAGAACTAAGCGGGATAGTTAACCACCACCAGCTCCTCATATAAAACAGGGGAAATACCACCTCCCGCCCATTAGGATGGCTTCTGTTAGTCCTTGCGCCTGCCCTGGTCTGCTCTGGATCCTAGGGGGACTGGCCATCAGGTAGTGTGTCCTGGGCTGGGGCAGGGCGGGGGCGGGGTGCTTCTCTCTCAGCAGGGTTCAGCGGTAGGAAGCAGTCCTGGTGATTTGGGGATTGGGGCAGGGAGAGAGAGCCGTGTGTATGTTATGTGACCAAATATAGCACAGATCTGCAAATCAATCACTTAGAAGCTATTTATGATGTTTCTCTCATAAGTGCATTTAGCCTGCTGAAAATGCAGATTTTTTTTTTTTTTTTGCCTTCCTAACATTTCAGTGAATAACAGAATTATTTAAAGACTAAATGGAGACAATTTTAGGCATCTTTGGCAAAATTCTCTGAAATGAATTCTTGTCAGATAGACCTCTGTAAAGATTCTGATTGTGTGGTAAAATTAAGTTAAATAGGTTTTACGCTCTCGATAAAATTCTCTTAAATGAAGTCTTGTCAGATCAAGCTCTTTAAAGATTGTAATTTTGTGGTAAAATTAAGCTTAACAGGTGTAACACCCTTCTTCAGTTTCGTAGGCTCCTGTGTGCACACGTTGGCCTACTAAGGGCACAGCGACTCCTCCCAGGGACTGAGCAGCGCCTGAAGCAGACCAGCGTCCCTGCTGATTTCTGCCTTTGCATGTGTTAGACAATCTTTGGGCAATTTGCGAGTGCCTGTTACTTCACTTCTCAGGATAAGGATCATTCTGTTACCCATTTCGCTCAAAACTATGCAATGTCTTCATTAAATAATGTGCTTTCTTAAGAAGTAGAACATAAAGAGTAAGATTCAGATCGAGAAAGCAGCAGCAGCGCTGGCCCAGCTGCTTGGTGGCGGTCGGTCTGGCGCCAGCAGCAAATTGAGCGCCTTGAGCCACAGCCCAAACCAGCCTTCCAACTGAGCACTACCGCCTCCTGGTCTGGTTCAAGGGACTGTGACACCCACGTCCTCCGGTTTTCCGTGATGAGATTCCTCGGGTGTCTATTTGAAAGGTTTTCTCCTTTGTGGTAGGGTTTGCAGTTTTTGTTTTTAATTACAATGTAAGTATGTTCTTTGGAGAAAGTATAGAAGACATGAGGAAGCACAGAGCATGATCCAGTCACACAGTTACCATTTTGGCATATAGTCAATCTTTTTTCAGTTCGTGTAAGTATATAATTATTCATCTTAAATATTATACAGTACATCCAGTTTTACAACGGCATATTTTACTCAACTGCATATCCTGGCTAAAAAATACACTGCATGCAACATTTTTCTATGGTATCAAGTATTTTCTACTGTATAATTTCTAATGACTGCATACTTTTCCATAGTGTGGATATACCATAATTTATTTAATGAATTAGAGGGTTTAGGAAAAAAACCTGTAGGCTCGCGGCTAAAGTCATCCCCTCAAGGTTATTATAACACACAAAAACCATCCTCCAAGCACTTTGACACACACAAATCCTCGAAGGAATGATTTTTTGTGTGCGAAATGGTTCTAGCTGTCAGTCACTTCCTCTCGATGTCATGGTGCCTGTGCTCTCTCCGGGTTGTTAGGGGGTGATTATGGATTCCTGTCAAATGAGATGTCTGCTCTGTATTCACCGCGAGGCGGCTTGTGTTTTTCTCAGTCTATTGCTCTCCCCTCCGAGGAGGTTGAGCAAATCTCAGGGAGCCGGAGGGGAATGGGATAGGCATCTGGAAGCCACCGCAGACGTGCCCAGGGCCCTCAGATCCCCACACAAGCAGATTAGACTTCTACATAAATACATTTGTCTTGACTGTCACATTCCACCCAGGGTGACACCTACATGCATAAAAATGGCTCCGAGCCTGGTTTTCAAAGCTGTCTGCCTCCCCTGTTGCTTTTTAAACCACCTCGCTCAGGGGCATTTTTTGTGTGTGTTATATCTCTCAAAGATGATTAAGGGGCTGGGAGAGTTGATATATAAGGACAGATTAAGAAAACTAAGTATTTACAACTTGACTGAGTGACAGCCGAGGGGAAGATATTATAACTGCGGGTCTCAGATCACGGAGGAGACATTGTTTGGCTTTTCCCAGTAACTCAATTTTAGGGATATCTAATTCAGAGAAACTTTTCCAAGGATGACATCACTTATGCTAATTAGGTAATTGTGTCAGTTCGAAATTACATTTAGCTGCCAGTAGCAGAAACTTGGAATGGCTGTGGCTTAAACAAATGAGGGTTCACTCTCTCTCCGCTGAAGCCAAAAGCCTCCTGTCTGGGGCTGCGTGGCAGCTCCACGCTGTCGTCAGTGCACCTACACCCTCCTGTCTTTGGCTCCATCATTCTCAGTGTTACTTTCATGTTCAAGGTCATCTGATGCAGGCTGCGCTCCAGTGAGCCGGGGAGGCGAAAGAGGCGCTTGCCACCTCAGACGGCTGGGAAATGCTTTCCTGGAAGCCCACCTGCTGGCTCTAGTTGTTACTTCCTTAACCACCTGCAGGAGGGGCTGGGCGATCCCGTGGGGCGTTTCGTTTTATGCTGTTTTTCTGTTGCGGTACGTGCTGACCCCAACAATATCAGGGTTCTTTTCCTAAGAAGTCGTGGGATCATGAAATGCGTGGGCTCATGGTTTCTGCCACAGCATTTTTCCTCGTGAAGATTTTGAGAGAAGTCTAGACTCAGAAACGCAGTGACATTTGCTATGATATTAAAAGGCTCCATAGGTAAAACTAGCCCTTGAGATCTAATTTACCTCTGATCACTCCTGTTTTCATTTCTTCATTCAAGTATTTTCATACCTCGGTACAGTATACCTCGGGTTGAAATGAAATAAACCAACCATCTCAACAGACCTAAGAATAATAGCTACAGCCTGTTAGCTCTCACCAAGTTCCCTGCACTTAGTTAGGCGCTGAGGAATATCATCTGAATGATTTGCGTCAAAACTGTGGACAAGGATAGATGAAAAAGACTAGAAATTGGAGCTGATCAGCAGCTGCATGGGGTTTATTATACTCTTTTTCTCTACTTTTGTAATTGTTGAAGTTCTCCCCATATAGACTTTAAAAGTCGATTCATCTGCTTCTTAAATACTTCACATGAGGTCAGTACCAACACCCCTAGCCAACAGTGCTAAGGGAAGTTCAGCAGCATCAGACAGCAAGGAAGTGGCAGATTCAGGACTGAGACCCCGACTTGCCTGACTTTGAAGTCCGTGCTCTACCCCTTAGTCACTCAAAGGAAGCCCGCGCTTCCCAGACGAGCAGCCTGGAGCTAGTGTGAAAGGCAGACTTTCGGGTCCCACCCCAGGATCTTTCACAAGTCCCCTCTGTCAGGTTTCTGTTAAACTCAAGTTGCTGTGCTCTGTCCCCTGTGCTGTATTGCCCCCATGGCTGTGACCTACCCAACTCAGTCACTCAGTCACATTTCCTGAAAAACGGAACCTCCTGTTAAAATAAGCCTAATCATGGGTCACCACTTGGCAGCGTAAACATTTTAAATAAGCCTGGGATTCACAGCTGCTCTGTCTTTTACCGCTGGGCGTCTGCCGTAGGGCTGGGTCCTAAAGGCCTGTGTCAGTTAAGCATCACTGTGAATATATATGTCAGCTATTATTAATCACTGCTTGCTTGACATGTAATCCAGCTTGTTCTACTTAAGCAAAGCCCTGAAGTGCGGTGTTTGGCATTTCAAAAGCCTTGGAGAGGCTTCCGGGGAAACCTCCAGGTGCCCGTTCCAACTTGCATCGGCTCTGCCGATGCACCTGCGCTTGGCTGTCCCTGAGATGTGACTTTTCTCCCTAACATCCTCGGTCCTCTCTGCTTTCGAAAGAAAGAGAGCTGGGGCAATTGGACAACCTGAGTCCCAGCACTGCCGCTTACGTGCCTTGTGGGCAAAGCAGTTAGCCTTCGGAGCCTTCATTTTTCCCTCTGTGCCGTGGCCGGGCCCTACGCTATCTGGGTCCCTGCCCGCTCGTCCTTCCGCCACCCACCTACCCCAGCTCCTCAAGCCTCCAGACACGTGAGGGAGGCACTGGGCTCTGCGTGAAACCCACCTTACCTTATCTGTGCTGTCAGTAAAAGGATCCTGGCGTCGCCTTTTACTGGGCTCCTTTCCAAATAATGAGCGCCTGGACGCGCCGTGGTCTATTTGCCCCAGGACCCTTTTCAGAATAAGTACATCCGTGAATGAATGAATGAGGCCTGGCACTGTCCCAACTGTAACCCGCTTCCTTGAAGAGGGTGGGTCCCCTTTGCTTTTCAACATCTCAAAACATTTTCTAGCTGTTAGAGCAACTTGGTGGTTTTATTTATCTCCACAACTTTCAAACACTGTATATAGATTTGATACCCGGAACCGTTCATCAATTTCCATAGCAGGAGAAGAGAGGCAAAGGAAAACTGCCAGGGACCGTCACTGCGTAGCTCAGGGCCATACTAGTCGCTGCTGAAGGTACAAGCATCAGGGACCCTTCCTTCTTCCGAGACTCTTTCTCCGACCAGAGTCATTTTAAGCAGGTATATGACAGTTTTGTCATAAAATTAGACCTAGGAAAAATAGCCTGCTGTAATATAGTGATTATAACACCATTGTGCTACATGTGTCTATTTTCCTTTAATTTGTTGATTTTGAAAAAGAGGAAGGAAGGGAGAGAGAGAAACATCACTTTTCAGTTCCACTCATTTATGAATTCATTGGTTGTCTCTTGTATGTGCCCTGACTGGGGATCGAACCCCCAGCCTTGGGGTATCAGGACAACGTTCTAACCAACTGAGCTACCTAGACAGGGCCTAGGCATGTCTTAAGAAGCATTGCCCACCCCTGTCTTTCCTGAGCTGTGTGTGAAGTGTTTTCTGGTTTGCTTTTCAGGGCGGCCTTTGGCAAGGAATCAGAAGTTCTTATTGGAAACCTGGGTGATAAATTAATCCCTCCACAAGACATCCTGCGTGACGTCAGTGACCTCAAAGCGTTGGCCAACATGCATGAAAGCCTGGAATGGTTAGCGGGTCGAACAAAGTCAGCTTTCTCCAATCTCTCTACCTCCCAGAGTAAGTAACTAGAGTCGGGGCTGTTGTGGGGACAGCTGAGGAACTGGACTGAGTACTTTTACTTGCAATGTGCGTCACCATATGGGGACATGTCCAAGTTGTTGGAAGATCTGTGCCAGAATTCTACCTGGGCTGAGCCTCCGGCACTTGGGACACTGCAAAAGGAAGTAAACCAGGCTTCCCTGCATGGGGCGTGGGAAGCCCAAATGGTCCGTGTAAACATAACTTGTATTAAACCTTGGAAACATAAAACCATGCAAGGCTGAACCACTGTGTCTCAGGAACAAAAAGCAATGCCTTTTGTCCTCCTCAGAACTTCTCAAGAGTTGGAACTGTATCTCAGAGCGGAGCCCAAGGCTGATGTTTTCATTTTAACTGATACAAAGTTAATGAAAAAGTATCTAAAAAGAGAATAATAGAAGTGATTAAGGTGCTAGAAAATAGAGAATATGAGAAAAACAATTATTCCGGAAAGGAGATGGCTGAGAGATAACTTAATTATAGATTTCAAGGAAATTAAGGAATAGGATATGAAATAAAAATGTGAAACTTCTTTTTCTATCAAGAACCATTGACTCAGATAAAAATAATTTGGAAACTTCAGAGCACATAAACTTTATTCAGTAACTATAAAATAAATACTTTTTGAAGGCATTAGTTCACAAACATGTGTTAGGCAGTTACAATAGAGGCAAAGAAAAAATGATAGGAAGAAGGAATAAAGGAGGTGACAGATTTGAACGCATAAATGGAGAGACAGAAACCGGGTAGAAAAAAAGCAGAATAACAGCGACAACATGAAAGAAACAAAATCAGCTCTGAACTCACTATTAGAATTAACCCTTGGAAGATTATTGCAAGTAAAATGCTTACATTATTTGGCAGGTGAACATCACAGTAAGTTACTTACTATCATTGTCTTTTGAAAAGTTATTATTTCTTCGTGAAACGTGGTTACCAACATGGAGACGGAAGAGGCGTAGATGAAATTTACAGGGTAAGTTCCGAAATTGAGGGCCCCTGGGCAGAGGCTAGGGCCCTGGGTGCTCGCCACATTGGCTCTCATGCTAAATGTGTGTCTGCCCTGAAGGTCAATGGAAGGAGGGAGACTTTTGAGCAAGATTCTACACTCTGTTTTAGAAATCTTCTTAAAACATTACTACTTATTTATACTTTTATTTTTCACTTAATATTTATTCAAAATGTTACTTTTTATCTGTTGATAAAATTGTAAATGTTTATTCCCAGGATCTATAAAAATAGAAAATATATCCACTTATTATGGCTATTTTGGGCCCAGTGTTGGATCTGAGCAGACTCTGCATCAGTAGGATTCTTGAAAGACCCTCAGCTCTATAATCCCAGGATATCAGGCAATCTGTCACAAGCAGTTGTCTAAATTATCCACTTTATCTCCCAGTGCCACCCACTTACCAGGAAAAAAAAGAAAGAAAGAAAGTCAGAAATAGCTAATTTCCCTTTTGCTACTTGCAAAACAAACCGCTCTGAAAAGGGACCAGATGCCATCCTTCCTGATTTCCTTTGATTCTTACAAATGCAGGGCTGCTTGGGTAGGTGTCCTTTCGTTTGGTGGCCCCTTCCACGTCTGATGTTTAATAATGCGATATCTTATGTCCAGTGGCACAGCACTCCAGATTTCCATTCTGTCCATTCTGGAAAGGCCCCCCAGGACAAGGCAGCGCACCGCCTCCGTGGCAAGCCATTGCGTGACTCACACAAGCTAACCTGGCAGCAGCTGTTTGCCAAAAGACATAGGAGCTCTCTGAATTATGCTCAACTTTGGAATGGCACAATTTAGCTGCTGTTCATGTCACCAAGAAGTACTCAGCACAGTTGTCCAGCTCATGACTTTAATCATACCTGTTATTCTGACAAAGATCTCGTCTACCACGCCCGCTAATACTTTGTCTCATGTGCTCAGTTCCATTTGTAATATAAGTTGTACCCTCTCAGTTCCCCTCAGGGTAATTATTCCACCCAGTCAGGGATTTAAGTAATTGTCAGCATTTTGGGGATCAGTGCAAAACCCAAGTGAACTGTAATCACTACTTCTGTTGTCTATGGTAAAACAAAGCATCAAGCGAACCTGTTTTTTTCTGCTAACAACAGGCCTTGCTCATCCACACCGATCTGTTCTTTGAATTCCCAGGACAGGTGTCCATTGATGTTTGTAATTTGAACAAAGCAGGGAATTCTCCCACAATGGGTTACTTTGATTGTTCCACGTCAGAGTGACTCTAGAAAAGGAATAAAGGACAGCTCTTTGCTCTTCTTTTGAAAACTGAGCTTCATTACCTCAACAAAAGTGTGGCCAAGCCTGGAGACCAGGTGGCAGGGAGAAAATCCCATCTTCTTATCTAGCACCCATGGATACGCAGGGTGGGAAGAAATCCAGAAAAGATGACAGGTTTATTGCTTATTCCGCATCCTGTTAACTACTTGGTGTGGTAAACACCATGCTTTATTATATTTACAAAGCTGTTCATGTAATGGAGGGAGGAAGTTGAATAAAATTATTTTCACTGTGGAGTATGTCTTCCCATATTCTAGCAGGATTCCCATCCACTTGTCACACCGAATAGCACTGCACTTTAGTGGCCGAGCATGGTCGTCCATTTGTCCACGAGATCAAAGTTGACCGTTTTTTCAAAGATAATTTTTCCGTCTCTTTCAGTGTTCGCCCAAATGTCTCTCTGTCTTCTTTACCCTGAAGAGGGTCCCCTCGCCTCCTGACTGCTCCAGAGGCACCGCTCTTACTGCCATCACGCCGCAGCCTGTGCTTCCTGCTCTGTTTGCTCTCGCAGTTTTCCCTAAAACTGCTCTCCTTACGGTGCCCTCCATGGAAAGTCACAGGCCTACTGCAGGAAGGCAAACGCCTTGATTCATAAAACTGGTGAATCAGAAGGCTGCCGCCCTGGCTGGACCCCGAGGCTCACAAGGTAGCATCACACCCAGACGTGCTCACACACCTGCTCGCTCGCTCGCCCTTCCTCCCCTCTTGGCATTTTCTCCGTGTTGCTTCCCATCCCCGCTGAGAGCTTGCCCTATGGCAGCATCCTCGACCACCAGCGGCCCCAGGAGTGTTTGGTCCCAAACAAAAAACATTTTTGCCAAGAGAAACAGCCCCAAACAGGGCTCAGATTGACCCAGCCTGGCCCTCTCTCTCTCTCGGTCCCTCTGCTTCTCTTTGTGTGTGCCTTGTTTCCTGACTCTCCGCCCACACACAACCCAGCCTCTGTCTCCCATGCCCACTTCTAGAATTCCTTTATGCCCAGCACCCGTTTTAACAAACATGCTCTCAGTGCAGGGGACTTGAGCAGGATCATAGGAAGGGTTGGACATTCAGGATCTAGGTTTATATGTATTTTCTCTCACCCACTGATCATAACTTCAACCTTGGCCTAAAGGCACATTGTGGTATTTGTCCATTGTAGTACCTGTTATTTTTAAGAATCCTTAAGAAAGACTCTGAGATTAACTGCTATGATAAAGAACATTCTCGGCAAAATGTGACCTACATAAAAATTATTGGAGTTTGAAGACTAATAATTTTCTTTTGTATGTTAGCCTTCTGTTTTCAGAATATGGTGCTTTTAAAAACAGACTGCAGAGAACAGGAATGGGCTCTGGGGCTGCTTGCTCGGGGGGCCTCCTCTCTGTCTTGGATTCTGTAAAAACCCTCCAGGATTAGAGGCTCTAAACCTTTGATTATATATTCTGCTCTTTAAGCAACCTCACCATCTAGGGGGCTCTGTGTTTTTCTATCAAAGTCCCTTGGCTTCCATCTAAACCTCTTTCCTGTGTCCCACTCTAAAGAAATTAAATGTTGAATCTCTTCTCTATAAAACACTTGAACATGTGTGGAAGACTTTCCCTGGCCCCTGCCTGCCCATCTCTGGATATTAAAGACTTTTGGTCTGAAGATCCAGTCAACCAATTTAAAATGACTGTACCCCACTCTTTTGTTGTTGTTGTTGTTGTTGCTTGTTTCAAAATTTGGCTTCTATAATGGCCCTTCGCCAAACATCACACTGTCTTCACAGTTCTCAGATAATCTAGCTACTAATGTAACTCCACACCTCAGCTCACTGACAAATGCAAATATGACTCCTGGGATTTATTTCTTTAATAACATTTTTATTTAAGAATAGTCTTAAATTTAGAGTGAAGTTGCAAAGATAGGATAGAATTCCTGTGTATCTCATAGTAATTTTTCTCTGTTGTTCACATCTTACAGTCATCACTGCTAATGAGCCCATATTGATGCATTATTATTAACTAAAGTCTATACTTGACTGGAACTTCCTTAGTTTTTACGTGATGTCCTTTGTCTGTTCCAGGATCGCATTAGGATGTCACAATGCATTTAGCCATCAGGCCTCTCTAGGCTTGTCTGACAGTTCCGGGGCTTGTTTTGGTGACCTTCACAGTTGAATACTGGTCAGATACTTTGCAGAATGTCCTTCAGTATCAGATTGTCTAATCTCGTTTCATGACTCGACTGGGTTTATGGGTGTGGGGAAGGGAAACCACAGAAATAAAGTGCCATTCGCACCACATCGTGTCGAGGGGAACTCCTATCACTGTGACTTAGCGCTGACAACGTTCTGGGATTGATTTGTATGCCTCCACTTCTTGTAATCCTCTCTAGACAGTTCCTTCGGAATTCTGGATCGACTTTCCACTTTCCCTCCACAAATTGCTTTTGTCTATCTTTCTAATGACTATTTTTTTTTAACATTGTGAGTGTTATCTATTATAAGCCCAATGTTTAGACAAGTTGAATAGCTGCTAAAAAAAAAATTGTCCACCTTAAACAATTATGTAGTTGATAGGGATTAAAATCGTGTGGGTCCAAAAGACTGTGTGTGGGAGGAGCTGCTTCTCCTTCCCTGAGCCACGATTAGGACCTGCAGCTATTCCTCACTTGCCACGGGTGCTACACAGTCCCTGGTAAATGTACACAACCATGTGAATTT